TTCTTATCTCAACCCATGGGAGTTGCATTTTTTTTTTATTCTCCTCTCCATCCCTCTGGGAGTAGGGGAAGGGAAAAAAAGGGGGGGAGTGAGTGAACAAGCTGTCTGGGTGGGTTTGAACCACGACAGTTCTTTTTGGTGCCCAACATGGGGCACAAGGGGTTGAGATAACAACAGATCTGACCGGATTAATAGTCACTTGTCACAGTGCTGATTTAATGGCTCTCAGAGTTGTTCCTCTTGATCTCACAGTTTCAGAACGTATTACATTACTTAGATCCAATATTTGCTGAGTTAGTGTTTATCAAGTGTGGGGCTTGGGCTAAGGTTCTTGTCTCACTGTACTTTATGGCAATGACTTGTAATACAGACGGGCTCCAGCAGCAGGGTGGGACGGACGTGGCCGTGGACTGGTATCTGGCTATCCGGCTGCTCTTCACCATCCTGGCCCTCGCTCTCGCCTCCGTCTGTGTGAGGCTGTGGGGAGCCAATGGGGAGCAGCTCTGGGGACCAAACGGTGGCGGGAGCAGGGCCGGAGGCCGTGAGGGGACGTCTGCCGGTGGAGGAGGTCGGGGCGTTTGAGGAGCAAAAGGAGGAGGCTGCCGAGCAGCGGGAGTAGGCGGTGGAGGAGCCGAGCCTCATGGCCGAGCCCAGCCCTGCGACGGCCGAGAGCATTCCCTGGAAGCCGCCCACCGAGCCCCAGGACAATGCAGGAGACCACGCAGCATTTCCCAGCAAGGCAGAGGAGGAAGAGTTGGACTCAGAAAAAGAGAAGCTGTTGGTGGGAGGGCCAGCAAGCACAGGAGCTACATCAGCCCCAGTGACAAGTACAGCAGCATCGTTTGAGAGTCCTGAGGGTTTTGAATGGCCTTTGGGTATCCTTAGGACCTGCTTGCTGACTGTGATGGGGATCAGCATGTTGGCACACACACAGAGTGTGTTTTACCCACCACCATTTTGTGTGATCTCAAAAGTTAAGCAGAGTCAGATTTGGGTCTTGTCTGGAGGTAGACTACGATATAGGAGGACCAAGAGATTTTCCCCAAGGCTGGACAATCATGAGTGGCAGAGTGTATGGGACAGTATGGGCAAGTATCTAGTCCACTGGGCCCCTCCAGTGCTTTGGAAGCGTCGGAGATGGAAGGCAGCTGTATTGAGTCCCCAGCAACAAGCTGCAGAAACTGCTGAAGGGGACAGTGAATTATTTTGAGCATGGTGGGCCCATGGCACTTCAGGCCATCAGGGCAGAGATGCAACATAGAGATGGACTCATGATCGAGGGGTGGACTTATCAATGGACATTATTGGCCAGGTTATTCAAGACTGAACATGCACACAGCCTCTCCTGCTCTGAAAGATTGTTACAAGAGATGGAGCCTGACATCATAGACCAGATGGACTCAGAAGCTTTATAGGGACTGATCCATGCACTAAGATAAGAGTGCACTTAGATAAAAGTGATGGTATATTGAAAATGTAGGATCTGAGCATGATGTGAATGGTATGGAATAAGGGGTGGATAATGGCCTGGGTTCAGCAGTAGCATTCATTTTTCACCTTCTTGGTAGCTGGTGCAGTGCTGTATTTTGACTTTCGGCCTGGGAACAGAGCTGATAACAATGATGTTTTGGTTTGGCCAAGGACTTTGTGAGCCTCATGCTCTGCCAGGGAGCAGGGGAAGCCAGGAGGAAGCAGAGACAGGACACCTGACCCAAACTGACCAAAGAGGTATTCCATACCATAGCACGTCATGCCCAGGGTGTAACTGGAAGTTACCCGGATGGGCAAAGGGACTGCAGGGCTGGGGGAGGTGTCAGTCGGTGCTTGGTCGGGCTGGGGGGGCATGTTAAAGGTCGGCTGGTGCTGAGGTGTTGTATTCTCTTCCCTTGTTATTTCCTTTATCATTATTATTATTGATGGTAGCAGTAGTGATTTGTCTTATACCTTAGTTACTGAACTGTTCTTAACCCATGGGAGTTGCATTCTTTTTGATTCTCCTCTCCGTCCCTCCGGGACTAGGGGGAAGGAAAAAAAGGGGGGGGAGTGAGTGAACAAGCTGTCTGGGTGGGTTTGAACGACGACATCAGGACAGTGAGAAGAACGTGCAGAAAGCTCAGTGCCGTGGACTTCAAGAGAGGAGACTTTGGCCTCTTCAGGAACCTGCTTAGTAAGGTTCCATGGGATATAGCCCTAGAGGGCAGGGGGGCCCCAAGAGTCTTGGTTGATATTTAAGGATCACCTTCTCCAAACTCAGGAATGTTGCATCCTGCCTAGAAAGAAGTGCAGCAGGAGGGCCAGGAGACCTCCATGGATGGATAAGAAGCTGCTGAGGAAACTAAGAGGGAGCAAAGAGCCTTATAAAAGGTGGAAGCAAGGACAGGCGGCCTGGGAAGAATAAAGGGATGTTGTCTGGGAAGCTAGGGACCAGGTTAGGAAAGCTAAGGCTCAGTTAGAATGAAACTTGGCTAGGGATGTGAAAAATTGCAGGAAAGGATTTTATAGTTACATTGCAAATAAAATACAGACTAGGAACAACATGGGCCCTCTCTGGGAGTTATCAGTCAGGAGAACTGGCTACCCTGGATTTGGAGAAGGCTGAGGTTCTTAATGACTTCTATATCTCAGTCTTTACTGGCAAATGCTCTGAACACACCACCCAAGTCTTGGAAAGCAGACGCAGGGACTCTGACAATGAAGACATTGGGCCCACTGTAGGAGAGGATCTGGTTCAAGATCATCTTAAGACCCTGAATGTACACAAGTCCATGGGACCTGGTGAAATCCATATGCGGGTCCTGAAAAACATGATGGCAAATGAAGTTGCTAAGCCACTGGCCATCATATTTGAAAAATTATGGCTGTCAGGTGAAGTTCCTGATGACTGGAAAAAGGGAAATATAACTCCCATTTTCAAGAAGGGGAAAATGGATGACCCAGGGAACTACAGACCAGTCAGTCTCACCTCCATGCTTGGCAAAATCTTGAAGCAGATTCTCCTGGAAGGCATGCTGAGGCACATGAAAATCAACAAGGTGCTTGGTGACAGCCAGCATGGCTTCACTAAGGGCAAATCCTGCCTGACCAATTTGGTGGCCTTTTATGATGGGGCTACATAACTGATGGACAGGGGTAGGGCAGTTGACGTCATGTATCTGGACTTGTGCAAAGTGTTCAACCATGTCTCGCATGACGTCCTTGTCTCTAAACTGTAGAGACATCAATTTGATGGATGGACCATTTGGTGAATAAAGAATTGACTGTATGGCCACACGCAAGGACTTGTGGTCAAAAGCTCAGTGTCCAGCTGGAGACCAGCAACGAGTGGTGTCCCTCATGGATGATTGTTGGGACAGGTATTGTTCATCTTTGTCGGTGACACGGACATTGGGATTGAGTGCTCCCTCAGCAAGTTTGACAATGACACCAAGCTGTGTGGTTCGGTTGATATGCTGGAGGGAAGTAGTGCCATTCAGAGGGACCTTGACATACTTGTGAGGTGGGCTTATGCCAGCCTTATGAAGTTTAACAATGCCAAATGCCAGGTCCTACACCTGGGTCGGAGCAATCCCAGACACAGCTACAAGTTGGGCAGAGAAGAGATTCAGAGCAGCCCTGCAGAGAAGGACTTGGGGGTGTTGGTCGATGGGAAACTTAACATGATCCTGCAGTGTGCACTCCCAGCCCAGAAAGCCAACCGTATCCTGGGCTGCATCAAATGAAGCTTGACTGGTAGGTTGAAGGGGATGATCCTGCCTCTCTACTCTGTTGTCATGAGACTCTACTTGGAATACTGTGTACACTTCTGGTGTCCTCAACATAAGGACATGGAACTGTTGGAACAAGTCCAGAGGAGGGCCTTGAGGATGATCAGGGGACTGGAGCACCTTCCATATGAAGACTGGCTGACAAAGTTGGGGCTGTTCAGGCTGGAGAAGAGAAGGCTGCATGGAGACCTCATAGCAGCCTTCCAGTATCTGAAGGGGGCCTATAGGGATGCTGGGGAGGGACTCTTCACTAGGAACTGTAGTGATAGGACAAGGGGTAACGTGTTCAAAGCTGAACAGGGGAATTTCAGACTGGATATAAGAAGGAAGTTCTTTACTGTGAGGTTGGTGAGGCACTGGAACGGGTTGCCCAAGGAAGTTGTGAATGCTCCATCCCTGGTGGTGTTCAAGGCCGGGTTGGACAGAGCCTTATGTGACATGGTTTAGTGTGAGGTGTTCCTGTCTGTGGCAGGGGGGTTGCAACTAGATGATCTTAAGGTCCTTTCCTACCCTAACTGTTCTATGATTCTTTAATTGTACTTTTGTAATGCCTAAGTGTTATTGGGGTGCTAATAAAGATTTTCAGGTTTGTTTCCTTGCTACTACCAATTTATGTTGTACATATGATTTCAAAGTTACTTATTTAATGTTTTAATTGTGTCTTTCACTTTAAACTGGGCATATAGGCTTAGATTAGTACGTTGGTTGCTCTACTTAAACTTGTTTGAGTTCAAAAGCTGAGACTTGAATCTTTTTAGCCCCAAGAACCACTGTCAAATAAAGCAGTCTAGATTTTGATGATTTGCTTGATCAACCTTGCAGCCAGGTAGAAGAACAAGTGGATTAAAACTAATATAGCACACTGCTGTTCTGTCTGTGTGATTGAGGTGCTTCTTCATATGCAGTTAGCGCATGTATGGCCAGATCCTTCATATTTAGTTCAACTGGAATTTACGTTCCATTGATTTTGGGTCCAAAACAAATGCAGTGTGACATTTTTGTATTTCAGGCACCTAGGTCTATCCTGGTTTTGTTTTTATGTGAGTGATCTTAACACTTGAATGAGTTGAATGAAGGTGGCTGGATGGATCTCTCTGTTGAATGGCCTGTCTAGGAATTTTGCTTTCCAATTAGATATTTTGCAGATATTTTCAACACCAAGAGTAACTTTGATAGTTCTGTTCTTACTTTCAAATTGTGAAACTTTCTTTCCCCTCGCCTTTGTTTTCTTGCAGCCAACTGGGTACATGGAAAACTCCATTTCCTACAGTGCTATTGAAGATGTTCAACTGCTCTCCTGGGAGAATGCCCCTAAGTACTGTTTACAGCTCACAGTCCCTGGGGGTACTATCTTACTGCAGGTACAGTAAACACCAAAGTACAATTTTCTTTCTCTCTTACTCTGAATTTCCTTTATCTTGTCTGCTATGCATGAAATCTTAATTAAATGGACTCAGAAAAGACGGAGAACTCAGTGTTGTCAAATTATCTAACCACCAGAGTCTGAAACTCTTCATGTTGTTTGACAGTCAGAATGGAAATTTGGGGCCACAGTGGTCAAATCTTCTTCCTGATTTTGTGCATCAGAATAATACCCTATGGAGCGGCACATTGATTTGGGCCTGGAACAATTGTGGTTTTGCATATAGTCCTATTCCTGCACGAAACAAATTAAAAATTTTACCCTTCAATTCATATAGGAAACCCATAACTTGCACTGACACTGACAGGTATCTTTTAAAATATATATATCTGGCCTTCACTGGAAGATTTCAGTACATTTGTATGTCTACATATGCTAGTCCTCTAAGTGTCGTTTTCAAACTGAACATGCTGTGTTTATGTTATTCCAGATTTCTTCATCCCCTTGTGAGGCTTAGGTCAGTGCAAGTTTTAGAGACAGAAAAGGACTCCACAGCACTGAGCTTTGGAACTCCTTTCAAATAGGAAAAGCAAAGCATTTGAAAATCCAGCTGCTGTGCTCACAAATAACTTTGAATAGTCAGAACTTAGGCTAAGTTAAGTTGACTCCATCTTATTCCTTACCATAGTTCTCCACATTGTTTCAAAGACAATTTTACCTGTTACCCCTTGGGAGTTTCCTTTTTCACTTTAACATACAGCTATGACTATTGTGTGTATGCATTTCATGCAGAGAGTGTCAAGAGACTGCGTGAGCAATTTCTGCAGAAAATGTGAAGATCAGTTTAAACTGTGGAACCATGTGTCCTGGGTTCAGCACTAGCAGTCATTTTTCTCCTTCTTAGCTGGTGCAGTGATGTGTTTTTGACTTTCAGCCTGGGAACAGTGCCGATAACACTGATGTTTTTACTTGTTGCTCTCCTGGCTTCAACAGTAGCAGTCATTTTTCTCCTTCTTAGTAGCTGGTGCAGTGCTGTGGTTTTGATCTTCAGCCCAGGAACAACGCTGATAACACTGATGTTTTTAGTAGCTGGTCAGAATGTTTACTCTGACCAAGGACTTTCTGAGTCTCATGCTCTTCCAGGGAGGAGGGGAAGCTGGGAGGAAGCAGAGACAGGACACCTGACCCAAACTAGCCAAAGAGGCATTCCATACCACAGCACGTCATGCCCAGGATGCAGAACTAGGGGCAGTTACCCGGGAGGGCTAGATCACTGCTTGGTGAGGCTAGGTATCAGCTGGCAGGTGGTGAGCAACTGTATTTTCTTCCCTTGTTATTTCCCTTATCATTATTATTATTGGTGGCAGCAGTAGTGGTTTTGTGTTGTACCTTAGTTACTGGACTGTTCTTATATCAACACGTGGGAGTTGCATTCTTTTGATTCTCCTCCCCATCCTCTGGGAGGGAGAGTGAGGAAAGGGGGGGGTAAGTGAAGGAGTGGGCTGCATGGCTGAGTTGCCAACTGGGCTTAAACCATGACAGTTCTTTTTGGTGCCCAACGTGGGGCACGAAGGGTTGAGATGACAACAGATCTGACCAGAGTGTGTCTAATCATATTTGTGATAAGCATTCAGTGTTTCAGATTAATAGTCACTTGTCATAATGCTGATTTATTGGCTTGCAAAGTTGTTGTACCTGATCTCACTGTTTCAGCGTGTCATACCTTACTTACAGCCAGTATTTGCTGTCTTAGTGTATAGCGACTGAGGGGCTTAGGATAAAGTTCTTGTTTTGCTGTACTTTATGGTAATGACTTGTAATAAAGTAGACTCGTTGATTATGAAACTGATCTGGCTTGTGTTCCCAGTGTGGTCATCACCTCTGTTCTTTGAGAGGTATATAATGGAAGTGTTTAGCATCCTTTTTCCCCTCCTCGGGTGGTCAGCCTATGAAGGAGACATTCCCTTCCCAACACCACCACCAGACTATTTACATCATCATTTGAGAGTTCTGAAGGTTTTGAATGGCCTTTGGATATCCTTGAGGCCTGCCTGCTGATTGTGATGGGGATCACCATGTTGGCACACATACAGAGTGTGTTTTACCCACGAACGTTTTGTCTGATCTGAAAAATTAAGCAGAGTTGGGTCTGGGTCTTGTCTAGGGTTAGATGATGTTATAGGAGGACCAAGAGATTTTCCCTGAGGCTGGACAGTTATGAGTGGCAGGGTGTGTGGGATAGTATGGGCAAGTATCTGGGCCAGTGGGCCCCTCCAGTGCTTTGGAACTTCACCACTGAAAAAGTGCAAAATCTGGAATATTTAGTAAAACACTTAAATGAGGTGTGTTGTCATCCTGGTCATACCAGAGATGGCCAAATCATGGCAACGTGCTGTGGCTTGGCCTACGCTTACAGAGCCCTGCTCAAGACTATCCAGCACCTTTAAAGGGGAACAAAATGTCTCTGGTCTGATGGCAAAGCAACAGACAGTGCACCTACTTCAGCTCCAAGCACAGCAGCTACACCAGCCCCAGTGACAATTACAGCAGCTATCCAAACTATGATTAGAACAGACAACGCAGATAACCCAATTCCAAGCACAGCTGCTACACCAGCCCCAGTGAGAAGTACAGCACCTATCCAAACCCTGACAGCAACAGATAGCTCAGCTGCTGGTGCTACTTAAACCTGGAGCACAATAGCTACACCCACCACAACAACTGATACTGCAGCCACTCCAACCACAGTGGTAATCGCTTCAGCTGAAGCAGAAGACCAATTTGTGCCAGTATCAGTTGCCTCTGTATGCAAAGGGAAAAGAAAAAAACGAGGCACAAAAAGCAACCCGTACAACAAAGAAAGATGAAGAAATAATGCACTTAGTACATGGTAGAGCATCTAATCCTGTGTTATTATTACGTGAATCAGAGGAAGAGGAGGTGACATCTTGATCCCGGACCTCAACCGACCTACGGAATATGCAAAAAGATTTTACCCGTCAACCAGGGGAGCACATGATCACCTGGTTGCTCCGAAGCTGGGACAATGTGCCAGAAGATAGATGGTCACAAACTATAAGGTAGGGAAGGTAAGAAATTGGGATCACTTGTTAGGGAAGGGGGAATTGACAAAGTAATTGCAGAAGAGAAACAGTCCCTTAGCCTTTGGAGGCAGCTCTTGACACCTGTGAAGGAAATGTTTCCATAGATTTCATGCAGACAAGTGGACTACTCTAGAGAAAGGCATCCAATCTCTGAGGGAACCATCCATTGTACATATTATCTATCACAATCCCGATGCTGGGAATGCACCCATAGATCCAGATGAAGTCAAATTTATAAGACCCATGTGGTGGAAATTTACACAGAATGTACCATCATCATATGCCATTCATGGGCAACAGTAACCTGGAATGACATAGTACCACCAACAGTAGATGAAATGATTCGACAACTCCGAAAGTTTGAAGACAATCTCACTGGAGGCTGATATCAGCCTGACTGGGAGGAAGTGGCAAAAGCACCCCATTGTGACTGGTCCAGAGTCTCCATGCATCCTTGACAAAGACTACCTCAGGAGAGGGTACTTCAAAGACCAAAACAGTGGTCTTTTGGAGCTGCTGCCTTGGTGACAGGGGAAATTAAGCAGCTGTGCACCTTGCCTGGTCTCTCAGAGGATTGTTCTCTTGTGGGGTCGCTGAAGGTGAAAGTACAAGTGCCAATTACAGCTACAACAGTGCACCGGTTGCAATATCGCACCAACCGAGACTCCCTGATTCCCATCCATAGGCTGATCTGTAGACTGGAGAGCCAAGGAGTGATCAGTAGGACCCGCTCATCCTGTAATAGCCCCATATGGCCAGTGCGAAATTCTAATGGACAGTGGATTCTAACAGTAGTCTGTCTTGACCTGAATGAAGTCACACAACCATTGAGTGCTGCAGTACCAGACATGCTAGAACTTCAGTATGAACTGGAGTCAAAGGCAGCCAAGTGGCATGCCACAACTCATATTGCCAATGCATTATTCTCAATTCCTTTGGCAGCAGAGTGCAGGCCACAGTTTGCTTTTACTTGGAGTGGTGTCCAGTACACTTGGAACCGACTCCCCCAGGGGTGGAAACACAGCCTTACTATCTGCCATGGACTGATCCAGAGTGTACTGGAACAGGGGCAAACTCCAAAACACCTGCAATACATTGATGACTTTATCGTGTGGGGTGATACTGAGGAAGAAGATTTTGAGAAAGGTAGGAAAATAATCCAAATCCTGCTGAAAGCCTATTTTGCCTTAAAATGGAGTAAGGTCAAGGGACCTGCACAGGAGATTCAATTTCTGGGAATAAAAAGGCAAGATGGACGTTGCCAGATGCCCGCAGATGTGATCAACAAGATAACAGCAATGTCTCCACCAACTCATAAGAAAGAAAGACAAGCTTTCTTAGGTGTTGTGGGGTCCTGGAGAATGCACATCCCAAATTACAGGTTGTAAGCCCTCTCTATCATGTGACCCAGAAGAAGAATAATTTTAAATGGGGCCTAGAGCAGCAATAAAACTTTGAGCAAATTAAATGAGAGAGAGCTCATGCAGTAGCCCTTGGACCAGTCCAGTCCGGGCCAGATGTAAAAAATGTACTCTACACCACAGCCGGGGAGAATGGTCCTACCTGGAGCCTCTGGCAGAAAGCTCCAGGTGAGACTCGAGGTCGACCCCTTGGCTTTTGGAGTCGGGGTTACAGAGGATCCGAGGCCAACTATACCCCAACTGAAAAAGAAATACTGGCAACCTATGAAGGGGTTCGAGCTGCCTCAGAAGTCAGTAACACTGAAGCACAGCTTCTCCTGGCACTCCGGTTGCCCATGCTGGGCTGGCTGTTCAAAGGCAGGGTCTCCTCTACACATCATGCAACTGATGCTCCATGGAGTAAGTGGGCTGCACTAATTACACAACGAGCTTGAATAGGAAATCCTAGTTGTCTGGGAATACCAGTAGTCATC